AGCCTCAGCAGATGCAGGCTCAGCATTTCCAGCCTCAGCAGATGCAGACCCCACCGAACTTTTACACGCCAGGCGGCGTGCCATCTCAATTTGTGGCTCGTCGTCCTCAGCGAAGTCGATCACCCTCTCAGAGTGGAGTGCCAAACTTTGGCACAGAGAATGCAGAGATGCGCAGTGTGTCTGCGATTTCTGGATCCCCACGATCGGGGAGAAAGGATTTGGTGGACGGAAAGCTTCCATCCAAGATCCGAGGAGATTCACCACCTCCAATTGCTCAGGTTGCTGAGCTGGAGCCAGACCCGCCCCAGCCTCAGGCTGCGGCGCAACCGTCGGCTTTCCCAGCACGCCACTACCAAGATGAGGCGCATTTTCCGTTTGTGGATGTGGTGTTGGAACGCCACTCGCGAGATGAGAAATGGGGAATCTCGCTGGGCTCCACTGACACAGACTTTGTGGGGTGCAAGGTGCGCTCGATCGCGCCGGGGTCGCCAGCCGACCGATGGAATGCAGACCCCCCTTTGCCTCAATACAAGATCCTAGAGGACGACGTCTTGATCTTAGCGAATGGGCAGGTCACAGACACTGCTACTTTCAAGAGCATTTTGGAATCGCTTGGCTTGTATGCCAATTTGGTGTTCCTGAGAAGGCCTAAGAGAGGTGGATAGAGATAATCCCAACAAAGTGGAAAAAAAGGCCGCTGCATGGTGCTAAATCGTACATCTCGTGTTTTCGAGCTACCTAAATCATTCTAAAGCATTTCTTTGAAAGACTTTGAAGATGATTCAATGATCGAAGATGATCAAGTTGAAGACGACTTCAAAAGTTGCCCAGCTGGGGCGTTCTCCTCCAGCTCACTTCATGCCGCAGATTTTGACTTTTCCGATTCAACTCGTCAGGCAAGGCCTTCAGCTGTGGCTATGTCGGGCAAAGCTGTGGGGCTTCTTGCCTAAGACGCCCGTCAGTTGACTTTACCACATGAAGTTCTATATATCCATGTTTAGGTTTCTTGAGTCTGAAGTCTGAAGGGTTTTTGCAACGGTTGTGGTTACACAGATTTAGAATAGTTGCATGCTACTTTGCATTCTGCATAGCCGTTCCAGAGAAAACTGGAAGTAGAAGGCTTTGATCCACATCTAAAGTGCCTGACATGTCCGCAATCCTGAAAGTCACGGCCTATCAGGAATAGATCGAGGTTTGCGTGCTTTGACCATTTGCGATGTCATGTGATATTTGGCAATGATTGGCAATGGGTATATAAGTTGTTTGTGATGTGATCTATATATCTGTTCTGTGGGTTCAAGATTGAATTTTGGGACAACCATGCTGCCAAACGATAGTGGAGGAAATTTGATATGTCCTGCAATCCTTTTCGGTAAGGAGCGGCTGATCCATGTCCAACGGCTGTTTACGCAGACCCCCTCTCCACTTCAGCCCTCAAAGTTCTTAATTGAGTTTTTGTTCCTTCAAAGTGTTGTCCAAATTTAGTCGTTTCAAGAGCTGCACAATATATAGATGCTTTTAACTTTTGATTGCCCAAGTCTTAGTTGTTAATTTGTTTGTGTGATGGAATGATGCCTCACACTGAGGCGCTCCAGAGGCAGCTTGTTGCTCACCGGTATCCTTGGTGAATCGAGCGGCTTCAAACTGTCGAAACTAACTGAAAGCCCCTGACTTCAGGTTTTCGCACATTCTGCCGTCCTCATTTTGGTAGGGATAAGGTGTTTGTGCAAAGCTCAAACCATGAAGACTCTTCTGTCTAAACTTTAAACGAAACCTCCCTCAAAATCCACACCCACCCACCACCCCTCAGGGGGCTGATTTGGGTGATGCGCCCGCAACTTGTTGCCCCATAGGCAACAGGGGGAGAGGAAGAGGAAGAGGGAGAGGAAGGAACCAGGGCCCCGGACGCAGCAAACGTCCACCACCTTGAGCTAGTCCAGAGCAGGTCGCCGTGAGACAAGGGAAGGAGAGGAACAGGAAAATGAAGGAACTACTGTAAGGCTCCGTATTTAGCCTTGTAATTCAAGGGTTCCAGGTAAGGGGCAGCCACCAATGGGGGTGCAACAGGGAAACGTGCGCCCAAGACATGAGGGGAGACATGAAAGACCAGACATAAGCAAGACAACGGGTTTGTGAAAGGGAGATGAAAGGAAACCGCCGAGCCAAACCTCATTGTCAGAGACCTGGAGCACCTAGGCCTGGTTTGCATGCGAATAAGGGCACGCGTGCGCAAACTAAGGTCGAGACCAATTGGCACGCAAGAGAAGAAATTGATAGAAAACAAGACATGACGAGCAAAAAATGGCCAGACCTCATTAAAAGATACTAGGACGCTACTTGGGGCTCCTGGCATCGCTACTAGGAGCAAGGACGCTACTAGGGGCTCCTGGCCTTACTACTAGGAACAAGGACGCGGGAGCAAACAGTGAATTATCGGTTTGTTGGCATGCCGTGCGCAAACTAAGGGCCTTGGGTGGCCAGGAGAGGAAGAGCACACAGAACAAGAACATAGGCTTACTAGTAACAAAGGGCATCGCCACTAGGAGCAAGGGCATCGCTACTAGTAGCTCCTGGCCTTACTACTAGTAACAAGAGGACGCTACATGCTCCAAGCTACGACGCAAGCGTGCGGGGCACATCAATCGAGGGACAAGAAGGAGTAAAAAGTAGAAAGAGTAGGATGCTCTAAGCGAGGGAAAGGAATCAAAGGGGAAAGAGAGAGAAAGAAACGGACGCCAGGTGCTCCCAGCTACGGACCAAGCGTCCAGAAACACATTTAGCATTTATCAAAGCGAAAGAAAGAAACAAGGAAGGGATATTGGGCGCTGCGCTCTCCCGGCACAAATTTGCATGACATGTTTCTTCTACACTTTCCACCCCCCAGATCTGAAATTGTAACTATGCCCTCCGTGAGTTAGAAGGTGTTTTGGGAACATGGCCATGTTTGTCTGAGGTATCTATTTCGGAGTCTCCTCATTGGGGAGCTGCAGCCGCGTGTTGCACCAGCTGGTGTTTGACTCAGCAGATTTGAATGGATTCGATGAAGTAAGTGCAACTATGTGGCGAAGCGGCGAAGCCCGCCGCAGGTGAGATTTCAAACGGACCCTGGTGGAGACGAATCGACATTTCAGGTGAAGGAATTGCACCTCGCCATATGATGTCCTTTTTCTCACATGCCAAAGAATAGTTTCCTGTTCTGAACTAGTAGCTTCTTGTTCCTAGTAGTAAGGCCAGGAGCCCCTAGCAGTGTCCTTGCTCCTAGTAGCGATGCCCTTTGCTACTAGTAGCTTCTTGTTATTAGTCTATCCAGTGTCCCTTTGTTTCCTTAGACTTTTCTTTGCGCTCCAGGTGCCCCGAGGCACCTCAGCTGGCCATGGGTTTCGGCGACTCCACGCTGCACTTTGGCGCGCTGGAGCCAGGGGAGGCAGGAATCTGAGGGGAGTTGCTGGTTCATGGGGAGTCGGAAAGTTCTTCTTGACTTGTTTAGCCTCTACTGAACAACGCTTGTTATGTGTTAATGCTATATCTTTTTGCCTTTTAGTTTTGTAGCAACTAATGTGTGTTCTTTGGAGGGGTTCTTAAGACTCATCATCGGAATTGTATCATAGGTCAAGGGTGGAGTTGGAATGGCCGACTCATCAACGTACTTTCAGTTCCGAACAAAGTAAAACAAGCACACGGAGTTTTCAAAAGGCTTAGTTTGCTCTTTCTGAATGATGTTTCCAGTCTTTTAAGAAGAGTTGTGCCGATGTGTGCATACCAGGCTTCCTTGCGGTGGGGGTAGCCACAGCCAGGAATGTAAGCCTGGCTAACCGCGGCGTCCATGGTGCCCTCAAAGAAATGAAGAAAGGGGAGCCTGGGGAGCCTGCCGTAGAAATGTTTCAATCATGCGGCCCACCGAATGAATAAGCCAAGAAACAAAGTGTCATGCTTTATCAGGAAGTGGTTTCATTTTCTACTAGGAGCAAGGACGCTACTGGGGGCTCCTGGCCTTACTACTAGGAACAAGAAGCTATTAGCTGATTGTTTCTACTAGCTTCTTGTTACTACTAGTAAGGCACTTGTTACTACTAGCGATGCACTTGTTACTACTAGGAACAAGAAGCTACTAGGGGCTTTTGGGCCGGTGGTGCCGGTCCCATCCTTTCGCAGGGGCGTGGCTTGCGGGGTGCGTTGCCCTCCAAGTTCCGCTGGGATGCCTCGGTTCGCTCAGCACACGGTGAGGGCCCCAGACAGGATGGGCACAGGGATGGGCCTGGTGGGGTTGGGACGCTTGGGACGCTTGGGACTTGAGAGTTTCCGAGCTCCCTTCTTGTCGGTTGCTGGCTCATCAACAAATTGTTCAGCACTTTTCACTCTTTCCATGGACGGTTGTCAAGTTGTCCTATTTGTATACTTTTCGTGACTTCAGCAGTTTCTAGGAAGAGGATACAGTGGAGTGACTGAGGCCAGAGTTTAATTACCTCTGTTCAGAACTTAGTGCGCAGGAAGGGCAGCTATCACAGCTTTTTTGCTGAAGAGATTTGAGGCTTCAGATGTGATCCTCATGTACATTCATACATATATATATATATACGATATATATATAATATATTTTATATATTATATGCATACATCCTATATAATTTCAAAAAGTGTCTCATCGATGTCATGGACCATTGCCCTTCTCAGATGTTTTTAACATCCGTGGATGTTCTTGCCATGTTGGGCACTTGGTGACTCTTTGATCTCCGATCAGCCAAGGTGCAAGCGTGTGATGCTCAGTACAGCTGTCACTGCTGCCGCATGAGCCCTGAGGATTCCTAAAGCATGAAAAGATCGTGAACATCTCATTGGGCTGCTTTTCATCATTATAGCCTGCATGATCTTCCACTGCGATTGGTGGTAGGTATTCTTATGTAGTCTTCACGAACATCAATAGCTCCAAATTTTCAGAACACGTTGCTAGCAGTAAGGCTGGCAGTTTTCAGGGCAACGCGCAAGATGTCGCATGAGGTAGCTACTGGACAGGTCATCACTCGGGACTTGAGGCTTCAAGACAATCTTGCGTGATTGAGCACCTCCTCTTGCTTGATTGAACTCCAGATCTCAAACAAGACAAATGGCAGCAGCGAGTGAAAGCATCGGGACTGCGATCAAGATTCAGCTGGAATTGTGCGAGTGACAATACATTGATCGCATTTCATGCATGTTTGGCCGCTTGAATGCACCAAGTTTGAACCATGGCCATCTCGGTCGACCTCTTTCCAGTTTCCTGTTTTGTGCTGTGAAAGAGCATTTTGTAGGCATACCTGATGGCCGTTGGCATAGACACGGGTTTCCATACTAACTATTCGTGGTGTAGATGTGACAGGACACCATGCAAAACCTTAAGAACGCCGAACACCGAGCACATGAACAATAGCCAACAGCTGCAGCTGCATTCAACAAGTAATTTGCACATAAATGTACCATCCATTTGTATCCTTTTGTCATCTGACATCAGTGATACCGTCTGAGGCTGGACCAAAGCTTCCGGCATGTGGTGTCGAGTGGTCTCGACGGTTTGTTGCGGGCACGGACACCTGGAACACGTCTGTTGCTTCGACGCTGTTGGGATGGGCTCCACCCTAGTAGCGATGGCCTCCAACCTAATAGCGTCCTTGCTCCTAGTAGCGATGCCAGGAGCCCCTAGTAGCATCCGATCCCTCCTAGTAGCGATGGCCTCCACCCCGATGTCCTGAGGTGTGGGATCCTGAAACGGCCCAGGAAGTGCACCAGATCGTCGGAGGCCCAAGATGGGAAGATCGGAGCCTATGGAGAACTTCACTCTGCAGATCTCCGTAGTGCCAGGTCTTCCAAAGGCATTGCACCACCCACAAATTTGAAGCCACCTCCAAAGTCTGCAGCCATTTTCCGGGTGAAAGTACGTAGACGGTCGCGGCAGTCTTACTACCCACAGCAGCAATATCATCCAATCTTTTGGTCATATTGGCGATAGACAAAGCAGGCTACCCTTGGATGAAATCTCCGAGCTTGGAGTGGATTTGGATTCCCTACACTGCCCTGCTCTTCCACTCCCCGCATGCACTGTGTCAAGCACTCGTAGCAACATTCAGCAGCAAGAGGTCCCTTCCGAGGTTCCCTAGGTGCAAGACCCTGGACCCTAGAGAGAAGCGGCAAAGGCCATTGGTTGCAATATCGGCCTATTCCAACTACACCCAAGTCACCCAATGTTGTATTTGCATGGATTTACATTGAAGAGCACAAAGCACAGCCCCATGGGCCATCACGGGCCGTTTGAGCTGCGTCCAAGGTCACAGCTCATGAACGAGGAGTCAACGCCGTGGCAGTCATGGCCAAAGGATACCGGAGTCGAGTGTAGTTTGTTCTCCATTTGAGCTGTGGCAATATCTTGTTTGCCACTCATTCCTTTCCTTTGCCGTTTGGAACCTCGGGTCGAAGAGCGCCTTTTGAGAAGCTCCGAAGGCAGAGCGAATGTGTGCCATAGCGAAAACGGTCCAATGGGCATATATAATTCCATGTAATATATTTATTCTTTTTACATCAGGCTTGCGCTTTCCCTTGACCCCGTACTGCCCGTACTTGTAAAGTCGGCACATTTCTGTCAAGGATCCATCGGTTTCATGCCCATGTCCATGTGAGATGTGTCGATCCGGCAAGGCCTCCACCGAGACGGATCCTCGATTGCTCACTTGCGGCGATGCAGGTCTGGGGGTTAGATACGAGTACCGGCGGTGCAAAAGGGCGGCCACGACGTGAGTACCAATACATGGGCAATCACCAAGGTGACATGTGAGGTCTTGTGTTGTCATTTATTGTGAGGCCACAAAGCTGCAAAAAGCTTTAAGTTTCCAAAAAATCTTGGAACTAAATGAATAGAAGCGTGAGCTATTCTGGGTCCATACTAGTAGCTTAAGCAAGGTACTAGCTACCTAGATACTAGCTACCTCTAGCTACTACCTCCCTTTTAGGGCCTACCCTCCCGGGCAAAAAATAGTAGTTAAGCTAGTTACGTAGGCGCATTTCTATCCTGAACACAATGGTGCTGCCTTGCGCCTTGCGCTGGCACGATGAGACCTTGGAGCACGACAAATGTCCACTCACATGGCAGCAGAACATGTCATTTGCTTTCCTGCATGAGTCATTTTTGGGCACCGTTGCGCTGGCAGCATTTGATGAGAACGACATTTTCGAGAGACATTCGCCGCGGCAACAGGTGAAGTACTCCTCTACAGCCCGGAGCTCACTAAGCAAGGAAGGATCTCTGGTCATATCCTTTCTGAAAACGATGGACGTGAGACATAGTACTGAGATGTACGGGGTAGCTCCTGCGTCCGGTCGGGTCTTGGCCAAGGCCCAAACAGCATACCTGGCGCTCCTCCCTTGCAGCGTGATGGCCCGAGATGTGAATGAGGTGTTTTGATTTGACTTTTTGCACTCGGGGTGTAGTTTTTTTGCCAAAGCAACGGATCTAGACAGGTGAGAATGGACCTGGTGCAGGAAAAATCTATGTTTGTCAAGAAAACTGGCACTTATCGGTTTTTGTGAAGTATTAGGTGGTTCACTGCATGGCCACCTTGTTTTTGTTAGAATGGGTATGATCGCGAACCAGTGGTGGTTGCCAGTCATTGTGGTATACCAAAGTCTTGGTGCAAGTACGACCTAAAGTGGGTGCACGTCCCTAGCTGGATGTCCGTTCCGTGGAAATTCTGCCAGGTGAACTCCCCCCCAAGCTCCTAATAGCGATGCCAGGAGCCCCTAGTAGCGTCCTTGCTCCTAGTAGCGAGGCCAGGAGCCCCTAGTAGCTTCTTGTTCCTAGTAACCCTTTGTTACTAGTAGCGTCCTTGAACTCCCAAGCTCCCATTTGGACCCTAAAAATCCTAAAAGTACTCGCGAACGTACGCGACCAGTTTGGTAGATGTGGACGCTCGTCGCTGCCAACGTTGGTTCAGAACGAGGCTGTAGTGAAAGTTGCTGGATGTCAGGATCATTCTTTAATTCACCATCCAAACAACCTCTCAGCCTTCCTTGGCGAGTCTCATGCTTGTTGCAGTCCTAAGCTTCCAATGGTTTGTACCAGTGCACCAATGAGATGGAGCAAAAGCCTCAAAGTTCTAGCCAAGCTCCAGTCCCGAAGTCCCAAGCACCCCAGACTTCCACACTAAAGTTTGGTGCATTTTGAGATGTGTATGATTCGTAGGCCATAGTCGTGGGTGGGCGATTCCATCAGTTTAGTTCACAACTAAACACATCTCCTTTGTGTGCTTAGTCGGCGTTTGTTTTACGCTTCCGCTCGGGATCTTGATCTAAACCCGCGCCCTTCTGGGCGGAGCATCCGCCACGGCGGCCGTGGGCGGCTTTGAAGCTCATGGGTTTGGGCAGAGACTTTGCTGTAAATGAGATGGGACCCCTGTTTCGGCCAATTGGCATGGAAGGATATGCATGGCCCGCATAGCCACAGCGGCATAGCGCTTTTGAACGAAGCGGTCGGATTGATTAGCCCTGAGTCAGCGCGATTGACTAGACTTCATTGATTCTTTGTCCTCCATTGGCTGCCAGGGACTGTTCTTTGCCATGTCGCCTTGCTTGAGGCAGCTTGGAATGCTGCTCGAACCCACGTCGTGGATGCGAGGTGGACAGCCTCTTTGGCCACTGGGCAGATTTGGAGGGGAGCACTGCATCCCTTTTGCATATCGTTGCATAAGGACACTTGTGAGCCAAAGGTTAGATCCTCTATGATCCTGTAGAAACATTGATCTGGCTTCCCTTTTCATCCTGAAAACCTGGCCTCAAACTGCTTCAACATTCCACTGTGCAATCCGCGGAAATCTGTCTGCATGAATATTTGTTTGTTTTCAATGGAAGCAACACATCCCAGATGTTGACTCAATAGTACCCAAATTGGCCACCATTTGCATCCATTGGCCACCATTTGCATCCATTGGCCACTGCACTCAACGGCTGAAGAACACTTGGTGTTTCTTTGGCGCGGGGATCGTCGCTCACCTCGGGCTCTCACATCTCAAGTGGCTACACAAAGGTGAAGATGACTTCTTCAGGGAGGCCCGATGGGATGTGCCTTGCCTTCACAAAAGCTTGATTGGCAGCATGTTGAACAGCTTGATAGGGGCACCATGCCAAAAACAACACATGTAGGCCCATAGGCCTTGCGGCAGATCTCTTTGCAGGCCGCTTAGTGGGGTGTATCCCATTGACAAGTTGCGTTTCGCAGTCAGTGGAAGCATTGGCAAGCGGCGAGTGACGGTCTATCAAAATAGGTAACTCACGAATTGGACATCAGCATATTTTGATAGTTTTGTCAATTTGAACTGTTTCCCCTTCGCCCAGATCGCACATGGCACATGAGCCGAGGATTTCCATGAGTGCTACGAGGGCTCGTCTGAGCACGATGATCTCTTCCATGCCGCTCAGGAACAAGCCTGGATCAAATGTACCAAGGCCGGGACTCTTCTCAGTGAATGATTACCAAGGGCCGATTCAATGGATATCTGACATTTGTGTTTGAGCTCAATGATTTACCAAGATGGATGTTGATTTGCTTTCGAAGTATCAAAGACACCCCAACGGTGAGTGGACATCCAAGGAAATCCCACCATAACGTCGGGAGGTTACAAGTCCTGGTTTCTGTGTTTGTTGAGCAAAGGGTGGATTCTTGGCCTAGGCAGAAGACAGTATGCGTCGTACCACTCACAGCTCCGTCAGAAGACCTGCTTCAAATGAAGCCACAGGGCAATCGATCCATTGAAATGTCCTTGAAAGTCATGAAACCCTCCGCAACCTACAACTTCTGCATACTTCAGCACTCACAACGTATTTGGAACATCATGTTCACATATGTTCACCTTTTTGCTTCTGTTCACCACTACTTCCACAAATCTTGAACGAATCACCCTGACATAGGTCGATCTGATTTAACTGTGAGCGGCACAGGGCACCTTGGCCGCTTCCTATGCCTCCTTTGAGCTGCACCGCCGCGCACGGCGCGCCATCTCGGCCATTTCCAACCTCTCAGGCGCGAGGTGATGCGAGGTGAGAGTTGCAGGGAGTGTTGTTTCCCATTGTTTTCTTGCCTTCTTTGGTGGCCGATCGCCAACCTAGACTGTCTAGATGACCATGTCAAGGAACAACTTCCACTTGAACTCCTTTTGCTCCAGAGTAAGTGCGCTAAAGATGCTAAAGTCTTCTCATGTCTTGCCTGCCTTGGAGGAAGTCGAACAGAACGATCTGCTCCAGCGGCGGCACCATGGCTGAAGGGCGCGAACACGACAGAAGAACACCTTCAGCCTCCTTCAGCCAACTTATACTTTTGGAAGGAGTAACATGAAGTAAATGGATGTCTCAGACCTGGTGGAGCTCTTTGGTAGTATGGATATTTCGGAAAATCATGTGCATCTCTCATGTGCATCTCAAGAAGGGCCCAAACAAACCAGATATTAGCATGCTCCAGTGGAGGCGCTGACCAAGCAGAGTCCCATTGAGGTCCAAGAGCAATCGCCATGGGCGATAGATAGGTCCTCACACAGGAAAGAGCTAGGGTCTTGAGGGCACTCTTGGTGGGCCCATTCTTAAGTCTTTGATCCTGTTGGCTTCGCTTGATTTTTGCCGTGCTTTGCCACTGTCCTTGCACTAGCTTTACCCTGCGAAGTTCTTAAGTGTACAGTCTACAGCTGTTTGGAAACTCCAACATAACAACTCTAGCATTGAAGAGCACCAGCGGCCAACTGTGAAGAGTGACCATTTCTTTGATCCGTCTATCTTGATGAGTGGAAGGCCCAAACATGCTCGTGACAGGTCCCGCACTTCAACGCCTCTGAAGAGGTGACGTGCGCGCAGCAATGGCTGGGCCGGACGATGAGGCAATGGACCAAAGACGACCTGCCTCCGCCGCTGGGTCGATGGGTGACGTCGTGGTTGTGATGCCGGGGGTCTTTTGCAAAACTTGTCATAGCCTTCAGGGGATTTTTTTAAAACGGTATTTGAACACTTCCCGGGATGTTGACTGGCTCCGACTGAGTGTAGCATTGACAGTTCTGTTTCGGTGAGATCCTAGTGACATCTAGTGACTACCGTACAGACGGTTTTCATTCTGTCGTTTACTTTGCAAGACTAAGAGGACATACAAGTTTTGAACTTTGATGTGCAGCAGCAGCGAGCTTTGTTTGGTAAGTAAGAAGTAAGACGTGTGTGTGTGTGTGTCGGCTGCCCTGTCTTGACACGGCTTCCGAGTTAACACGTCAGTCTGTGTTTTCTCATCCAGACATTTGGTCAAAAAATGCTAGTCTGCTAGGGCCAATATGTCTCTGTTGGTACCTCCATACCCCCTCGTTGACTCGCTCCCTGCACCAGAACTTGTGCACGAATTGTGGGGAAACCAGTCCGAACCTTTCACGAACCGTCCTTCAGCTCCCATGAGAGCTTCAACTGAAACCCCTGCATTCAGCGGTACCCGCACAAAAGACCGCTTGGTCATAGTGTCCTTCAGCACCTCAGGACTGGAGAGGGACCTTATTGGGCCCAAGGACTCCGCAACGCTCAGGGCTGCGGTGTTTTGAGGTGTTTTGTGCTTTTGTTTTTAAGGAATTTTAAGGAGAGGAGTAGGCTGACGAGTGAGGGGTAAGTAGGAGCATAAATAGCTACTAGGCTGGGACGCAGAAGAAGCCCTCCCAGGATGAGTTTGCTTCCTAGATTTGTTGGAAAATCTCAATGACGTCATTCAAATGTCTATGTGCGGGTCACAGTCGAGAGACGTTGGGAAACACATCTTTGCTTGATCAGATCTTGAAGAACTCAATTTCAAAAGGAACACCAAACAGCATTGCCAATTGCCTCTTGGGATTGTCCCAACAGCTAGGTTGGAGGCCATTGCTCTTAGGTTGGAGGCCATTGAAAATCCCTTCATTTTTGTGCAAAGTCGTCTTATCCCAGGAGATGGGAAGGGCCTGATGGTTCGACAGGGGCCGAACTACAAGAAGTTCAGGAGCCATGGTCGGGATTGAAATGGATTGAATGGCTAGAAGGCATTGTTTCTGGAGAACCGAAGAGCATGTTTGGCTGAAAAAAGAGGCTTGACCTTTGGTGACAACAAGACATGCTTGTTGAACCCTTGATAGCAACCCAACCCCTTGGTAAAGAAAGCAACTGACGTGAGATGTGACTTAAAGTCTTTGATGCTGAAAAAAGGGAAGAGAAAGAGATGAGTCAGAGACGAGAAGACGAAGAGAGCCAGGGCTGCCCGATTGTAGGTTTTCTCGTGGATTTTCGCTGCACAGAACGCTGCACTAGCCAGGAACAAGGGCGAATCGCAGGGTAGTGACTTTGTCAGCATTGTGGGTCAAACACGTCAGGGCAACGGGGTGCTTCAAAGTTTTC